CCTACTTCCCACCTGCACTGCAGTACCATGGCGATCCCGGGAGGTGGAGCTTGTGACTAGCCCCATCTTACAGAGCACACTGAGATTTAGGAGAGCAAAGAGGCCTGTCCCAAATGGAACAGGCAGTGAATGGCAGAGTGGGACTCGAGCCCTGCAGGGAGTCTTGGAAAGACCCTCTGTCCAAACTGGTAACCCTGCCCTCATGCACACAGCCTGGATTCATGGGCTCCGCCATCGCCCGCTCAGTTACTGGTCCTGCCCACGCCTGGGCACTTGTGGAGGATGCTGGTAAACTCAGAATTTGCCGCAGAGTTGATCGGGTCCAGTGCCTGGCACACAGGCAGCCCAGTGATCGCCAGTAAAGGACTGGCTTCCTTAGCTGTTCAGTGGGAAAATTAAAAGCCCATGTCCTATGGATGATTATTGAAGCGTCTGCCCCCAAGGTCTTCACGTTATGGGGCAGGGAGAAGCCAGTGTGCAGTAGGCAAAACCAAGCTCCAGTCCCTTGGGTGGCCACTGGCATAGCAGCGATTCAGGAGCCCTGTTCTCAGTTTATCTTCCTCCCAGGCATGGGGAGCTCATCTCTGCAGCTTCTAGAGCAAGCCTGCACGATCTAGCTGAACGAGCTACTGTGGAAGGGTTTTGTTGTGTGACCTTAGGGTTTTCCCTCCCTCTAGAAGAACTTGCGAAGATTCAGTGAGGAAAGGGTGGGCCATTCCTCACCCCAAAGACACCATTGCCATTGAGAGCACCTATGGAACAGGTCCTCCTCCAGAGCCTGGTGTGCAGGAGACACCCACCCTCTTCCCCATTCTCTTTCCCTTACATTCTGGGATTTGTGGACACCCCATGATTTTGAAGGGAATGGTGTGGGTAATGTGCATGCAAGGAAAAGTCAGTCACCCCGGTCGATGGCCAGACCCTACACTAGCCACTGCGCAAACAACCCTCTCTCCCCTGCCTGTCGAGCACTTGCTGTTTAGGCCACTGTCAAACACTCAGAGGTTTAGGAAAGCACAAAAACTGACATTTAAAAATAACCCATCAGTGGCCCTCCCTGGTGGCCGAGGGGTTAAAGCACAGCACTATGACGCTCTCGGAGCCACTGCAGCACAAGTTTGATCCCTGATCAGGGAGCTGACCCACATGGAGCAGCAGACCTCTCCTGTTTCCCGCTGCTCCCCTCAAGCAGCGAATCTCAGTACAACTGCCTGTTCTGCTCCCCACTGTCTCTGGTGAATCCTCTCACCCCTATACCTACATCCTAGCTCTTGTATGCATAAATAAATAGAATAAATCTTTTAAGAATAAATAAAAATAACCCACCACCGGGCCCTCCCTGGTGGCGCAGCAGGTTAAAGTGAAGCTAAAGCCCCTTCCACATGAGTTCGATCCCCGCCTGCCCCGGAGGTGACCACATGGTGCGGCAGACCTCTCCTGACCCGCCCGCGGCTCCCCTCAGCAGTGTACTTCGTGGATCTGCCTGTTCTGCTTCCTGCTCTGTCTCTGGTGAATCCTCTCACCCTGCGCACCTCTGGCCTGTACCCCAGTTCTGTATGAATAAATAAATACATCTTAAAAAAAAAAAAAAGATGGCTTGTGGGAACTTCGCTAATGACACTCCCCTCCCCAATGCGGAGTGACACTGCCCTCCCCATGCCCAGTCCTGCCCAGACCACCACTTAGTGCTCCAGCCTTTCTTCCCCACAAATACCTCAATCCACTGAATAAGCCCTCACCTCCACACCCGCTGGTGCAGCCCACAACACCCGCCCCCACTGCCCCCACCCATGGCTGCCGTTCAGCTTTAATGGCTTTTCCTCCAGAAAACTTTCCCTGCACTCTCCCTGAACCAGGGCTGGTTCAGGGGCACACAGCAGCCCCTTCCCACCCCCACCATCCCCTAAGTCCTTAAGTTTTTGTCTCTGTGCTGTCTAGTATGGTAGCTGTTAGCCACACGTGGCTACTTAAGTTAATTACAAATTAAACTATACAGAATTCCTCAGTGGCACTAGCCACATTTCAAGTCCCCCATAGTCACAGGTGACTGACTACCATATCAATCAGCACAGATGCAGGACATTTCCATCACTGCAGAAGTTCTAGTTATAATCGACCTGTTCCACCTCTCTTGAATAAGTACTATTTCTGGAACCGGAATGTCTACATTTAAATCCAGGCTCCATCGCATAGTAGCTGTGTGACCCTAGGCAAGTTACTTAACCTCTCTGTGCTTCGGTGTCTAGACAAAGAAAATAGTAATGGCTAAATACCATCTCAATCACTATTCTTTAACACAGACCTCCAAATATGGAGAAATTCAATTAGGATTATCTAAGGAAATTCGTCTTGTAAATGAGGCTTAAAAAAGCAAGCTGTTTATCAGTCTTTTCTCCAGCTAGTATCCTGGAAAACCTTGTGTGCGTTGCAAATTATTCATGCCTTCTCACTCTGGATCCTACACTACTTCAAATCAGCAAGATCTGTCCTTTCGAGGACTAGGGGGGCCTCTTGATCAACCACCAAAAAGGATCCTCACGCTTCTTTAAAATTGTCTAAAAATCAGATTTTTTTTAAATTAGCTTTAAGGCAGGATGTTGTTCCAGCTCAGCTTTGCCTCACTGTCTGTAGGCAAGTGGGGCCACCAGATAGTCTAAAAAGGCAGGATCAACTGGTGCTGGACTTTCTGATATGCCAATTGTCCCCAGTCGCGTTTCAGTGGCCCTCTCTCAGCCTTTGCCAAATGAAGACCATCTTAATCTCAGAGCTATCAGACCCCTGGGTGCATTCCGTGAGCCCTTCCCTTTCAAGCCAGAAACCGAGGCACATACATAGAACAGTTCCACTCTTACAGCTCAGTGAGCAAGAGGCAGGGGTGTGGGAACGGAACCTGGGTTTCCGAGCTCCAATTCCATTGTTCCTTTCAACCCCCAAACTCCAACCTGCTGCCATCTTTTTTCAGGATGCTTCGAGAGGCTCTGGTGAGAAAATAGACATTGAGATTCTCTAAGGAACCTCAAGAACTAGGCAGGTCTAAAAGTCACCCAGTGGGGACTAGCTCACCAAGCCCCACGTCAGCACGCAGGGCGGCTCACAACCCTTGTTCCCAGCAAAGAGGACAGGCTCAGCCCAGGACTTGCAATGGACAGCTCGCCACAGGCTGGGGGAAGAGCAGGTTAACAAGCCAGACGAGGCACCTGTCCCCGACGTAAAATGTGCATAGTCTCTACTTAGCAAATTCAGCTCCAAAGTTCTTAAGAAAACCATTAGACACTTTCGCAAAGATCGAAAAACACGGAGGGTCCCTAAAAGACAGCAAATATTGGGAATGTCATTGTACAACATTGGAAGTGACCTAACCATACCGTTAGATCGGAGTTGGTGGGAGCAATGGTTTGCACGATTGTGAACCACACAGTAAAAACAGGCAAGAAAGTGATAGGCAGGAAGAACAGCTAAGTCATAGGCAGATGTCAGCTGTATACTAGCAAATGTATAAAAAAAAGAACAAGACAGCAGGTATGTTATGACAACAGTAAAAACAAATGCATATGAGCAAAAGATAACCTCTGGAAGTTTCCACAGCACTGTTAGCACTGGTACTTTCTATAATGGGGTAACAGACTGTCTTACTGATGTTATTTCCTGTCGATATGTTCATCAACACAATCGAATACAACGAGTTAATTATACCTCCAAACTTTCATTCTGAACACATGATGAATCAAGAACAACTCAGGAGGGAGTTAAGTAATTGCTCATCTCTATCGGAGTCCTCAAACTTTTTCTACCGAGGGTCAGGTGGTCAATATTTGAGGTTTTGTGGATCATATAGGTCTCTGTCTCAATTATTCAAATCTGCCCATGTTATCAAGAGAGCAGCCAGATTCTATTTCAGTACATGCGATTGTGTTCCAATAAAGCTTTATTTGCAAACAGAGAGCTGGCCGGATCTTACTGGAGGCAATTCTTGGCTGATCACTGCCCTCTACACCATCTATCTTTAGAGTGTCAACTAAGCAGCCCCAAACATGGGGTTGCTGTTTCATCCACTTAGAACAAGTCCTACCCATTAGCAGTCATTTGATAAATACTGGTTAGAAGAATATGTTCCTGTAAATAACTTTTGTGCAGTAAGCAGATGTGAGCTTCTTAACCAGAAAAGGCAATTGCTGAGACGGGTGATGGGAAAAAATAAAATATTACGCCTGCGTGTATTCTGGGGTGTTTGATACATCTGCCTAAGAAGGAACCTGAGTCAGTGACCCACAGCTGACAGAGCGAATCCCAGAATTTAACACACACATCCCATCCCCCTCTGCAACGCTACACTCCCGGCTGTGTGGGGTGCTCTGTGGTCCTGGAACCCGGGCTGGCGTGGGTGGCTCATCTGTCTCAGTGGCCCGAGGGCCAGTGCTGGCCGGGTCAGCCTTCCATTGGTCAATCACGGAGATCTAATAGCAGCAATGATAGGCGACGGCCGGTTATCTGATATGACACCCAATATGTCGCTAT